ATACCCTTGTTCTAAAAAACAACAGCTGATTATTAAAATTGTTCGTCTTCATCAGACTAGCATAACGAACCGATTGCCTGTTTTCTTAAGTCGAAATTCCATCTGTAATGGAGTCCAAAATGTAAAGGAGCTAAGAGTATTCAGCTTCCTTACCATATTCTGGCAATCGTAACTCCTAAATGACAAATATTATCGACAGTATCTCGTATGAGGGGTAATCTAACGATTTTTCAATGGATATTGAGCCCAACTGAGTCTTTGGTCAAGTGACTCCCATACTAACTTTTTGTATTCTCCACTTACACTTACACTTAGATCCACGCTAGTCTTTTATCTGAATGTACATTTTACTCCTCATCTCCATCCTTCTTCATGTCTCTTACATTCTCGAACTCTCTCATTGTGGTTCACTCAATACGCTTTGACCTATGCAACTCATTTTATTTCGTCATCTCCAACTAGCTGTTGATCCTGTGATCTTCTCTTCTGCAGATTAGTCGATGCAAAAAAAACTCTAAATTTCTGTTAATTCTTCATGTATATGCTTTATAGAGTGCAGTTAATGTCTGTATGAAGAGGGATATTAGAATTTCTAACTTTTAATCCTTTAGCAGGTATAATTTCTATTGTAAACAAACATTGTTTGAAAAAGATTTTCTTGGCCGGTATTGAAAGGAACAGTAAACGGATGAATAATTGTTAGCGACGGTATAAATAATTGTGACATCTCTTGAGTGCTCAACTATGAGCAAAGCATATTTGGTGTTATATTTTATGCAGACAAGCAATTTTGAGTCGGCATCTAACTTTAATTAAGAAAATTTCATTAATAATACTTTTAACTTCCTATTTGAATTTTTTCTTAATTCAGCTAATATGTTGAAACTCGTTCGGTTGCACAGATGATTGTAATCGTAGATATCCGGGCCATAAGTTTAAGAATTATTTACGTTGTGGACTAAGGACAAGGTAATTTTACTCGTTTCCTATGATGGGTCTCAATAACTAGTTGACTTTCATTGAACTAGCACAACGAGTAAAGTCCTTCTCCACAGCTCCTAATACATACAGAATAATTTATGTATTTATTTATTTATATCAAATGGCAGGCTTTATGTAAGTTATCATTAGAACGTTAGTTGACTTCAGGCTTCACAGAGGGAGAGAAACACCAAATCGAGAAAAAGACGAGAGGGGGGAACAGAAGAGCGTTTTAAGGATGTAAAAGAGACAGACACAAAAGTAGATGAAAGGTGAGATGAGTGGGGTGATGGTAGTTTGAACTCAGAAGTCAACTGCCGGTTTATAGACTTTTTTGGCGCATGAGTATAAGTTACCCAGGGTGTGCCACGTGGAGGTAAGTCTATCGCTCACCCCAAATACAGAATAATTCATTGAGTTATTATCTCCAGAGGGAGAGGAGTTCGGAAGTCAATCATAAGCTCCCTGGGGTAAGGCAAGTGGCCGAATTATGCTCTTGGCGCCTACAAATTGCTTATTCCTAGCTACCCTCGTTCGTTACCCACTGCTTAACTGTTACAGTTGTCAGACATTTCAATTATACCTCTGAAAACCGCGAAAAATCTGGCAAATTCAGTCTCCATGACTCTAAGAGTGTCCCTATGGACTTTATAGAAAATCGCTTCTTATTCCTTTTGTTGAGCTTTTCATCTGAGCATAAGTTTGTCAGAATGGAAAACAACTAAATGTTTTGTGCTTCAGCAACGTGTTTCGATTTGTTCAGAAGCTTTTTCGTCAAATTGTTTGAAATAGATAATTAATCTACCGGCTAACCCCGACGCGGGTAATACTGCTGCCATAATCACTAAACACCCACCTTCTGCTTTCTAGCATATATTGAAAAGTACAACTTTTAATTCCGCGTAATTCAATACGCAATGGAAAGATGTTGCTATTACGCTTTGGCAACCTAGACGCTACTAAGGCAATGCATTCAGTGAAAAATGAAATGGAATCTTATCCTCATCAGTTCTCTCAATTAATCATGTTGGACTAAACGAATGCGTTCAAAAATATACCACAATTGAGAAATTCGCTTTACGCTAAACCTCTAGACGTCTAAGTCCACAATTTAGGTCAGTATTTCCATCATTGAATATTAACCCATGTGTAAATAAATCACGACCTCAGATATAGCAACGTCACCCTCAATAAGGACAGTTTCCTCATTGAGTTAGTGAACAGAGTAAGGATTAAAATACAACAAATTAAGGTACCATCGGCACTTCCGCTGATTGGAATAACCATTACCGTGTGATAAATAGAGGGGTGATCCTTTGGATAAATAACGTGATCCAATATTGTCGACAGTGAAAAATTTGTCGAAGGTGGAATAGTCACGAAAATGCAGATTATGGGAAATATTGTCTTTCTGTGGTTCTGCACGTAATAGGTAACTAAGCAAATGTCCTTATTATAAATGCCTTTCGCACTTGCACAGTTCTTAATATTTGTGGGTTTTCAATTTTTCGAGAATTTCATTGTCATCACAATGATGGGGAAAATGTAGCCCGAGATTTTTACAAAGTGCTTTAATTGTAAATACAATAGAAAATGGCATCTAGAAAGAAAAGGTTACTTCTATTCGTTATTGCAATGTTATTTAAAGCGCTCGTCTTGTGGCAAACAAAAAGTGAAAGCTTGATTTAGTTATGAGAGTTCGATTGACATGAAGTTTATATAGGCCAATTGACAACTATTTCCTGAATTGCGCCTTTATTAATACAGCTCACACAATTTTTTCTATCTGATCTGTTCTTTGGCATATAGAGGTGGAGGTAGAGAAGTCAAATGGAAGTGGGTATATGAAGAAAGTGAAAGGTTAAAGACGCGGAGTTCCAATTGGAGCCTTATCATATCACAGTGAAGGATGAAACCAGTGACCAATTTGGCTCCAATAATCCGTCGAGACTTGGATGGTAAAGTGATTAATCAGAGTGAGGATGTCTGAGGTCGCGGATATTTATGTATTTATATCAAATGACAGGCGTTTTGATAGTTATCATTAGCCCTGGAGCTGACTTCAGGCTTCACAGTGAGAAGAAGGAACATCAGAGTGGCAAAAAGTCGAGAGGGGGGACAGAAGGTTGATTCACAGATATAAAAGAGACAGACAGACAAACACAAAGGCATCAAAAAGGTAAGATGAGTACCGTAAAGGGGTCGAATATGACATAGTAGTTTGAAGTCAGAAGTCAACTACCGATCAATAGACTTTTTACCGTATAAGTATGCGTTGCCCAGGGTGCACCACGTGGAGGTAAGTCTAATATACATTGCCCAGGGTGCACCACGTGGAGGTAAGTCTATTGCGCACTCCGAGGTCGCGGATATAGATGCAGAGTTGTCTTTATAATGCAGCAAAGGAATGAGTATTGAGAATTTTCTCTGAACGCACAGCCAATTAGGACGGTGAAATCATCAATCATGTGCACACTCTGCAACTGCCATGACCCCATGAATTTCAATGCCTCGGTTCCTGGTTGAGGGAAGTCAATAACTGATTGCTAGTATGACTGATTTGTTTTTGTCTTGTTAAAGCTAAAGTGCTTAAGATTTCTTGGGCCCTAACATTTCCCTATTTGATGGCGAACTTACTCCTACAGGGTCGCTGGCATGAACTGAACGTCTGGTCAATGCCCCCATTTTGAGGTCTAGATCACGCAATTCCCATACTTATACCTACTTCTATGATTTCATAATTTTTCACACCTTCAGAAATTAAAAGAAGGTAAGGAACTAGTATTTACCTGTCGATTACCAGTATATCAAAATGTTAACGAAGTAACAGTTTGATTGACAATCGAATTCGTATGCAATGTTCCAAAAAAGCGAGTTCAAATCGATTGCGCTTAGACTCGAACTCATAAGCCGTTTTAATTTTGATACCTAATTAACAAAAGCACTCTTGCATTTAACAAGACCTTAAACTTGTCACTCATTAAAAATGTACTCTACTGTATTGTAGCTCAACAATCGACCCTAAAAAACAATGTCTGAACTGAATAAAGTGCTATAATCATCCTTCTAAATCAATTCATACAAATGCTATTATCATAATTTTATTCATTTTCTTTTGATTACCATTCGCAATTCTCAATTTGACAGAAAACCATGGCCATGTTAAATTGAAAGCGCAAAGACATTTACATCTATTTTAATCGGTTTGCTTTTATTGATTTTAACTCTAGGTTTCCATTATCAATTATAATCAACTATTACTTATTTAATAGAGAACTATTATTTAGTTAATAAAGTATAAATATAGTCAAAAAATACTAAACCTTTATTTAGAGATAATCACTATAGAATTTGGAAATAATATGAACAGAAATACCCTATTTATAAAATCAACAGAATTCGCTCAACGCTGCTGCTTAAACACGACAGAGGGAGATAATGTCCACCCTCTCCCCCCTCTCTCTCCCTCTCCCTCTCCCTCTCTCTCTGGAAGTTATCAATAGTTTTAAGGTCTGGGAATTGATATTCTTCTAATCTTACTTTAGAATAGATTTGTTATTGACAGTTAGTTGAGGGGGAATACAGTAGTATCAAGATGTCAGTCAAAGCGTCAATTGGTGGAACCGATTCCATGCTGGTATCTTAAAAATGGGAATAGTCTGTGATTGGATCGGTAAAACGAAAATTCGTTTCTTTGGATTCCACAGGGGAGGTCGAGTACAGAGCAATTACTTCCCAATTAATATTTAAAATTTTACAAAGTACAAAACAGTACTTAAATTTCCCAAATTTATTTGTCATTCTCCTGGTTAATATCGCATTTTCTGAGTCATAATGGTGAAGCTTTAGGCTCACTCTGATTGGTTGGCACAGTTGAAGTATCATTGGTTATCTAACTGTTGTGTGCTCAAATATGTTCATCAAGGCTTATAAACACGAAATTTAAAAGCATACCTAGTGCATAAACTTTGTGCCTTCATTTCCTTGGACATCTAAGCGTTTGGCTGAAATTAGAATGTATGGATTCATTTGGCGGCAAAAAGAGAACTATTTCCTTTGGTAAAACTGAAATCGGTAATGAATCATCGTCGACAAGTGGAAGTGCAACCTCTGAGTCTCGGAGTGATGTTACTGTCGGAAGACAGCAGAGAGTATTCATAAATAGTGCTTTCTCACTGGAATCACAAAAATGGGAGGAAAAACCAGTGGGAACCCATTCATACTCAACCCCTTCCTTGCCCTCTGAATTACCTCCGAACTATAGGTCCAGTCGTTTTTCTTCTGGTAATATAAAATATCCAGAAGGTTTGATCAATGATCCTGGCACCTCCCTTCAACTTATCGGTAATGGTCGTCCACCTCATCGAACTTCATCAGTAAATAATCCCCCAGAGACCTTGTCCAATGCTGCCTCTCTCGGAAGATATGGCTATGATGTTAAGTATGCAGGTCCACTTTTGCGGTTGAACATTAGTGGAACGATATTTCTTGTCAAAGTTAACACCCTTCAAAGAGATCCTCTTGTGTTTGAAAAGATCCTGGAAGATGCTGAATATATCCCTGAAACAAACGAGTATTATTTTGAGAGGGATCCTTTTATATTTAGATTTGTGCTGGCCTACCTAAGACATAAGGAATTGCATTTACCAATGAATATTTGTGGCCCATTAATGGAGAAAGAATTGGAATCCTGGGGTTTGCAACTTGGCTTTGATCTTCAACGCTGCTGTCTCGGACCAGTGATGGAGACCAAATCGAAAATGGAATCACTACGTAAATTTGAAGAGACCTTCTCTGAATCTCCGGTGGAATGTAATTATAGTTCAAAGTAAGTTACTTAGTTTTCTTCACATTTTATTGTGCAAGTGGTTGATTGCAACATATTCTGCCTCTAAATCAGTTGGTCTAAGCAGGGTTATTAAAATTAGAGCCTTAAATACGGCAGTCAACTATTGACCTTCTGTGTACTAAAATCAATAAATTGCGTGGGGCTATAACATCTGTCATAATTCCAAATTTGGGTGGATATGGTCCAGTGGCCTAAAAGCACTGTGGGTCATTGATTTCAACTGATATTACGGCCTCTTATTACTTAAACTTCACAGTTAGTCTTCGTATTCATTGGCCTCTACACAAAAGATAATTTACAGCAGTGGTATAATAGCCAAAGTTACGGTTGAGAGACTAAAATTTTGCTGTTATGGGGTAAACTTTGCTGAGCACTATTATTCAGTTTTAAATTGTTTATTATATTGAACTATGAAGTACTTCAGTTAGGACAGAGCACTATTTAATTAAAAAGTCTATAGTTAAAAATTTATAATTTATACAGAAATATTATAGAGGAGGTTATTAAATCTGAATCAGCTATTGCCCCTAAGTAAGGATTCAGAATTTTGCAAGGCTAGGCTGGTATTTCATGTGAAATTACGTCATGACGTGAATTGAAATATAACCAGTATTCAAGTAAACTGCGAATCCTTTTATCCCCCACATCATTTGCTTCTTCCACTGCTGGAATTCCCCCTACCCGCCACCCACTTTAACCATTTTTTGGATATTTTGCCTTCTCGGTGTTCAACTACATTTCTACCGTTATGATTGGCTCACTCTTATGGATTTGGTGTTGGCAATACAAGTACGATTATATGCTGTACAATTCTTTAATACAATGCGATCAGGACGAAAGACATTTCGTGGTTTATATCATAATGAGAGTGATATTGAACGATTGCTTGGGATCGTGTCATGTCCCAACGGCATTCGGTGTCAACTATCTATTACTTAGTGAAGCGTTATCACTTGATAATAACGATTTTAAATACAGTCCTGTCGAAAGTCATTACAAGTCTAACGAGAGGTGTTTACCGTTGCAACATATTTGGGGTTAACCTCGTTTGTAACGTCGAATGATTGTTTCACCTTAACATAGCAATTCCAAAACGTTCTGCCAACAATGATTGTTAATTTTAAAGCAGCAGGTTCAATCACTATCGCCAAGCGTAATCGTGTATACACGATTTGCTCACAGAAGTGTATTCAACGTGTTCATGTGACTGCCAAGTGGTCCACAAAAATCAATCAGACATCCATCCTCCCTACTAGAGATCAAACGACCATCATGCCAGAACATTTTGAACCAGTCACATATGCAAGCGTACAAAACAAGGTGGATATAAAATTGCAGTCTATGAAATACACAAACCAATGACTAGATTGGGAACAGTTATTCACTCATGTTGCTGTTAGTTATCTGGAAGCAAATCCTGATTTTATCACGGGTTAAGCATGGTTCCACTTTATTTAATACGTGTACTCTCAAATCACTCACTTCTGGTCAACAGACAGCCCCATGGAGCACTTTGATGAGACTCTAGATACTGTAAAATAGACATTTGACGTGCAGCCTCAGTTCCAAGATTGTAAGCACCATTATCTTTATTGACTGCGTGAAGAATGAGAGTTTGGGCATTTTCTGGCATCCATTCATGAAACTAATAGGAAAAGAGCGAAGAGTTACTTCATTTTAATTACCTCCCTCCCCCCCCCCAGCTCAAAGCACCCGATCTGCCTGCCTGTATTGTTAGTTGGGGATTAGTTTAAAAAATACAGTTTAATGTAACAATTAGCTTACACTTGAAGAGTTGAAACTGAAAACTCACTATATGTTTACGAAAATCACACTGAGTGAATTAATGAAAGTTGGGATGGGAGAATGAGAGTTGTATCGAAGTTCATGGTGCATACTTTCAAAACGCACTTTGAACTATTACACGTTCGCCGCATTGTTATCCCCAATATTCGGTATATACTATTATTATTATTATTAATTTAGTTTTTCCATATTTACACGCGACCTCTTTTATTTTGACAACAACATGTGGAATCAGAAAAATGCCAAGATGACTAAAAGTTTGAAATTACTTTTTTTTCTAGCAACAATGAAGAACCTCGAAATAGTGAGTGATTGCCACTTGTTAAGCTTTTAAAACTTTTATCTTGAGCTCTGCATATTAAGGTTTCAGTAAATTAAAGCAAACGTATTAATGACATATTTAACAACATTCCAGTCTTTCGTCTTAGTATTACATGGCCAAATTTCATCCAATGTTTCACTTCAAATGAAGCGTAGGTTTTATGTAGTAGAATTACACTGCTTTATTAGAGAAGTAGAAAGCCTCGTTTAGCTTCGCTTTTTGTTCTGTTCAATCTCACTCAATCCTACTTATAATTATAGATTCTGTATTCAATGGCAAAAACTTCGACAGTACGTTTGGCGAATCATTACAGATACGCCTAAGAAACGTTGGTTAGGGATGTTACTCAACAAGAGTGCTCAAAATAACACAGATGGTGAAAATATGGACGACTCGATATCCCATCACGGCAGTGAATTTGACTTATCTCCTACTAAACCCCAACCCCTCGAAAGTATAGACCTTGAAAACCTTGGCGGTTCAGAGGAGCGTGCAAATAGTTTGGGTAGTGAGGCGCATAACAATTTAATGAATCCGTTCAACTGGCGAACTTTGCAGAAAACTCCAAGGGAAATTACTCTTTGTCGAATTTATGTGGCTTTTCAGTTCCTGGTTGTCATATCTCTAATGATCTACATGACAATGGCGTATATTCCCGAACTGAGGGAACCTTTTGGACCTCGGCTAAAAATATCTGGCGTTAATAAAACAAGTCTTCCTCACTTCCCGGTGCATCGGTCTTATTATAAATTTGGTGATTATAATTGGCAGGTGACTCGGCCAATTCTTGTCTTGAGGCTTCTAACTTGGATTTGTGTTATTCTTTTCACAATTGATTTAGTAGCTAGAGGGATATTTTGTCCAAGGTTTTTTGAATGGCTGAGATCTTTCTACACATTCACGGATATTATATCACTTCTTCCGTTCTACGTGGAAGGTATTATCCTGAACGTTATGGAAACGTTGCCCACATCGCCTCTAACTAAAAAGAAGATCGAAGATTACATGTTTGTAATAGATATATTCAACATGTTCAAAGTGTTTGTGATCTGTCGAATCTTCCGGTTATTACAACGGCAGAGAGCAACTCGTGTATTGATATATACTATTCGAACAGCAGCTACCAACATTGTTATGGTGTTTGAATTGATGCTTCTCTGCGCCATCTTCTTTGGAACGTCCATATTCTTCTTTGATGAGAATATTAATTCTATATTTGTTGGAATATGGTGGGCTTTCACAACAATGACTACAGTCGGCTATGGTGATGTCATACCGAATTCAACACCTGGACGTTTGATTGCAGTGCTCTGTATGATCATTGGAATACTTCTGACTTCTTACACTATTCCTGTACTTGTCAATGATTTCCTCCTCTTTTACGGTCACGCTGATCAATTGGCGTGGATGCGAGGGGTCCACAAGTCAGCCACCGTAAAGCGCCACAAAGAGAAGAAAGAGCTCATGACAAAGAAGAGGATTAAACAAGTACGAGCTCTTATTAGAAATACCGTGATTGGTTTTGGAACTCCGCATGATGAAATTGTTGAACGAAAGCATGGTGTTGAGACCTATCCCAATCAGGCAACAGAAGCTACTCCCAATCTCCAGTTCCCTTCATCAAGCACCCGATGATGTTACTTTTCTTCAATCATCTAATTTTATTTTATGCATTTTATATGGCGAATATTACTTATTGTACTAATGAAATTGCCCGACTCTCTTTGGAACTACGGTAAAATTGGTGTTATTTTGCACTAAACCCTAAAAGGCCTCACGCAAAGTGTATGCGAAATGGAAGTTCATTTGCGTATTAACTATTAGTTGATAGACATCTTGGTAGTACAAATACTTGAATTAAAAGCCACCTCCATTCGTCAATTGAACTTTAGAACATATATATGAACTTTGAGAAATTGATTGACTCAAACTTTGCCTTAAATGCATCGGCTATAAAATTACAAATCGCTCAAGTTGTCAGGACCAATCACTTATACTTTAATTAACTGATCAAAGGAACTCACAAGTGAGCCAGAAAACAAATTTTAGAATCTTCACTTTTTTGATGCTGATACGCAATGTGATGAACTATATCAATAAATAGCATAAAGACAAACAAATGAGTTCAAAATCCAAGTGGATGCCTTATAAGGCTTCTCCTCATCTCCTTAATCTCTTCGCCGATATGATCAGTGACCCATTGCCTCCCTCGAAGCAATTTTCACAGAGGTTGTTTAATTGTTTACTACCACTAGTAGTAATACCGTAACACCACCTTTACCATCGGGGCTCATAGGTCAACCTGTTAAGCTGGAAAAAAAAACACTTTTATTTTAAGAAGGTAAAAAAGAAACTGGACATTAAGTTTACCGAATAATTCTATAACTCATGTATTTTTGTGATTAGCAATATCTTCAAAATTCATCTAAAATCGGTTTTCTAAATTTGCCCTGTTTCCAATGATTTACCTCTGTTTAAATGTGTTTGTTTGTGTGTGTGCGTGCGTGCTTACATTAAACAAAGACAGATGGGCATATTTCATCGAAATTTAGTATTAAAGCTTCCCAGAGTTCATGAAACAATGGGTACAGGACAATCAATTGAACAAGAAAAAAATGCATTTGATGTAGATGTTCATTAAGTTCATTCGTAAGTTGAGGTGGCTTCATAGCCACATACAAGCCATTCTATATTTGAAGTCAATTTAATTTGTTGTTACATTCAATCACTCTGTTCATTTCCCTTAACTCGATTGAGTGTTACAATCTTTGCAAAATATTTCATTGTGGAACATATTTTGAGAAATATTGGTTGCATATGAGTTTGGTGCTCGAGTGATAATTCACTCGCTACCCCGAAACCTCAATCAATAATCAGATTAAAATTAAATCATAATTTTTTATGCAAAGCAGCTTGAAGGGAGTCGGTTTTAACCACAAAGAAGCCTTAAACTTGAAAAATAATAATTCATTAACGCCTCAATAGCATTGTATGAATTATGAATGCTTTGGAACGTACATTCTTTATTTAACGAGTATAATTCTCTACCCGATTTTATCCCTTTCAAAATGTTTCAATATTTGTATCTTAACCTTAGTGTTTATAGCTAATTACTCAGCTAGTCAAATTGAATGGCTCTTTATTTGACCGCTGGAAATTTGTCCTTACTAATACCTAAGGTCTGTAGAGGATGCTTAAGGTACAAGAGGCCCCGCATGAATATAGAATAGCAAATTAAAATATCATTTTATTTAAAAGCTGCAAATATTTATATCAAATGGCAGGCTTCATGTTGGTTATCATGGGGTGTGTGATAGACTTATCTCCACGTGGTGCACCCTG